TTATGGGATAAGATGATTTATAGTATTGTGGGCTAATTTTTAAATTTCCTTTTTTATATAATGTTCCTGTAATGTGTTTCTATCGTGGGGGAGGGGTGTTGTAACCCGCAGGGAGGTCCCAGCTGAGCTCGCATTTTACCTGCATTTTACAGCTTGAGCCCTGACTGATGTAGCCCACGAGAAAAGCTGAGGGCGCCAGGGAGAAGCTGCCCAGGGTGGGCGCCAGGCCATGGGGTGGGGCGTTGGAATGAAAATGGCCGGTTTCACCTTATAAAACATTAATGCTGTTGTTTTATTTTTCTGGAAGAAAACAGAACGCTAAGGGATGGGACTGAGGGAGATCAGCCTCGGGCCACCTGGTGCTTTTAAACTGGTTGTCGGTGGGATAGTGTTGGCAAGGGCTGTCCAGCCACCAGAATTCCTCCTGGTTCCCCTCCAGGGCAGGCTGACCCTGCCTCGCCTGTACTCCAGCACACAGAACAAGCCTTGGACAAGATCAGCCCCACAGCTCTGGTGTGGGGAGGCACTTAGACTGGGGCCACAAGCCATGAGAGAGCGGAAGGATGAAAACTCCCCTGGGCTTCAGGCCTTCATTCCAGCATGGCCAGAGGAGAGAAGGAATTACCAGCCCCTCCTTTTTGCCAACACGAGAAAAGCCACAGTTTTTAAAGTCTCCCCTGCCCCCTTCAAGGTGGGGCCGCTCTCCCTCCAAGCAGGGTGAAGGGGAAACCACGTGCTGAAACCAAGCCAGCTGTCACCCGCAGAGGGGGTATCTCCCCTCAGTCTTGTCCATGTACCTCCTCTGGAACTGAGGGGTCCCCAGAACCAGGAGAGCAAGCCCAGAGGCCCCCACAGTCTATGCTGTGAGCTCACCTAAGCTCCATAAAAACCTTGATTTCTGGAAGGGCTTTAGTGTAGAGGTGACCGATACATTGCCACATGCCCCGAGCGTTCCAGGTGGCCCGGCGTGCACCCCACTCTCTGCAGGGCAGTGCAGACTACAGCTCTGGCAGCAGGTCCTAAACCAGATCGCTCTTCTGATTGCCTTGCCTACCCGCATCCTCAAGAGACGAAAAGGTAGAGATTTAGAACAAGAAATAATATTTCCCATGATGGGTCCTTGGGTGCCCATTTTTACTAGACCTACTTCCTGTCGATACCTAGGGTGGCACTGAGCTCTAGGCCCTGTAGATGCACCTGTGCATTCTCACAGTCCTCTCATGGCACCGTGCTTGCCCTCAGCCAACACCTCCTCACACTCCACTGTCAGTGGAGCTAAACAGTGGCCGACCACTCAACAGTGGTCAGCATCTAGCATCCGGATACATCTGTCCTACAGGCCCTCTCTGAGTAACCCTGTGATGGCGGGTAGGCCTGTCCTCACCTTCCCCCGGGACGGACCTGCCCTCCGCAAGTCCAGTGGGTTGTGTGGGCTGCAGCAGCAGGGATGGGATGTGGTCCTCAGCAGAGGGCTGGCCCAGCTGTTTGAGGGACTCCTGCAGAGGGCCCATGTGGAGCCAGCCTGAGCAGGAGCCCCCGTTGGGCACTCCAGGGGTCTTCAGAGCTTAGAGCAAGAGCATGAGCAGCCGTGTGTTTCATGGATGTGCTGAGAGACTTGTCCTCAGGAGGGGCCGCTTCCTTGGTCTTAACTGTCTTCATCAGCTATAGCGGCATCGAACACTGATCTTTTAGAAGACTTTAATTTGAAATACTGGCTCGTAGGAAAAATCATGATGTAAACACAAAAACAGTTTCTGTTTTTCTGTGTAAAAATGCATCATGACTTTTCCAACGACCCAATAGTTTCAAACTTAGATTGAAAAATACCGGGACAGACAGCTGGCGTAATGGCTATGTCGCTGGACTCTCATGTAATCAACTGCAGTTCAAGTCCCAGACCCAGTGGCTTAAACTCATACACATGTGTGTATGTGCCCAAGATGCCAAGATGAGAATGGAGGAGAAGGGATTGCACTGTGGCCATCCCCCCTGGGGGGATGATCTTTCACTTTCTGTTTCAGTCTGTCTGTCTTTCTGGAGAGCGCACACGCCCTCTAGCAAAAACCTCTCCAAAAGAAATAAAAAAAGAAAAGAAAAATATTAACACTGCAAGAGCTGGCAGGTGACATAGTGGTTAAGGCGTTGTACTCCCACATGGAAGACCATGGTTCAAGTCCCAGACCTGGTGACTTGCTTTCTCATTTCTCCTCTCTCTCTGATAATAATGAATAAAATAATTCTTTTTTTTTTAAAAAAGACCATGAAGATATTCTATAAACCTTTTACCCACATTTTCTAAATAGTAACACTTGTGTATTTTTAAATTACATAACAGCTTTATTGATCTGTAATCCACAGATACAAGTTAATTTTTCATACATTAAATTATTTTCTTAGTTTCCTTTCATTTTGCCATAGGCCACGTGTGCTCACTGGAGAGAGACAGAGAGAGCGACAGTAAGAAGTCAGCACATAGGAGGATGGCCACACTGCAGTTCTTCTGCTCCATTCTCCTCTCAGGATCTTGGGCACACACGCCCCTCGTGTGTTTTTCAGGCTGCCAGGTCCAGGACTTGAACTGCACAGCTGGCGTGTGGACCGGCCACCTGGCTGGCCCAGTACTTAATTTTAATAACCCAGACTGGTCAGATATTTGCTTTCCTGATTGTTTGGGTTTTGTCCCTCAACAGTCCCGTAAAGCAGATACTGTCCCCAGGACCCAAGTTCTCGTGGCAGATCCCTGGTATTCCCCAGGAGGGGATGAGCTGGAGCCGCATCCTCAGCCAGTGACCGCCACTCCGGCTCAGGGCTCAGTGGGGAGGAGAAGCCCCACACTTGCCTAAGGATGTGCCAGCCACGCGAGACGATTTCCCAGAGGGTTCCGAGGTTGTCGGCAGAATTCGAGGCACCCCCCAGCCGACCCCATTTTTCCAATCTCTGCTCACAGAAGCCTCTGGCAGTCAGCACAGTTGCCATAGGTTTCTTGTGGTTGGGAGCCGGCCTGAGTCTCCTTCTTCCTCTGGCCTTGCCTTTCCTCTTCCATTTGCTGTTGACTGCAGCCCAAGGGGGAAGCTCTATCTCAAGCTCAGCTCTTCATCAGTGACCAGGGTTTTGTAGTCAGTTGCTCTGAAGGACCAGCAGTGGCCCCATCTGCCCTGGCTTGGAGGGGTCAGGGTGAGGAGTTTGCTGCTCTGCTTCTCTCGCCTCTCTGCAGAGCATCCATTTTCAAAGACGAACGTGGAGTGTGAGGGTTGCTCCCTGCTGCCAGACCCTTTACTGGGGAGGATTTTGAAGCCCAGACCTGACCTAAGCTTGCCAGAGACTGCAAATGAGTCAGTGTCAGCTCCAACTCAGAGTCATCTTTATGTCTTCTGTTAAAGGACACAATTAGAGGGGTCCAGCAGGTGGCGCAGTGGTTAAGGCACTGGACAGTCTCACATGGCTGACCACAGTTCGAGTCCTGGACCTGGTGGCTTGTTTTTTTTCTTTCCCTCTCTCTCTCTGTGGTCATATTTTAAAAATGAATGAATGAATAAGTTAAATTAATAATTCTTTAAAAAATAAAAGACATAATTAGAACATCTTAGTGAAAGGACCAACAGATGATGTAATGGTTACATCACTGGACTCCCACGTGGTCAACTGTGATTTGAGTCCTGGACCCGGTGGCTTCAAACTCAGGTTGGGTGTGTGTGTGCATCCTTGCCCAGAATCCCAAGAGAATGGAGGAGAAGGGATTAAGACATAGCCATCCCCGCTGGAGGGTGATTTCTCGCTTTCTCTTTGTGTCTCTCTGGCAAGCACACATCCCCTATAGCAAAAATCTCTCTTTTTAAAAAAGAAAAGAAAAGAAAAGAACAGCTTAATGTCCAGATCCTAATTGGCTTTATTTACAATAATCAAGCAGTGCTTTAATTCCCTGAAATAAACTAAGTGTTCTAATGAACTGAGCAGAGAAGGTTGGTTTTATAACCAGAAAGGGCTGAAAAAAACCAAAGAACAAAAAGCAGATTGGTCATTTTCTTGTAAGGTTGGGAAAGGAGACAGAAAAACCACTGAGTAGTGGGACCAGCAGATGGCGTCATGGTTACACACACACCCCCCACACCCCCATTCCCCGGACTCCCACATAGTCGAATGCAGTTTGAGCCCTGGGCCCTGTGGCTTGAAACTCACACTGGGCGTGAGTGCATGTGTGCCCAAAATCCTGACAAGATAATGGAGGGGAAGGGATTGTGGTATGGCCATCCTCCCTGGGAGTGATTTCTCACTTTCTGTGTCTCTGTGTCTGGCATGCATCCTATAGGAAGTCTCGCTTAAAAAAAAAAGAAAACACTAAGTTAACATAAGACTAGTTCAAGTTACTTATTTTGTGTAAGGATTAATATGGAGGGGATTCATTATCATGCTGATTTGAAGCTAACCTGTGTGGGAAACTATGCTGTAATCTTTCTCCTCTTTTTTTTTTTTTTTTTTCAAAAACTTTATTTATGTTTAATTTGACCAGGTTGGGGTGAGAGTGAAAGAGAGGGAAAGTAAGAAATCAAGCCACCAGGTCTGGGACTCAAACCACGGTCAGCCATGTAAGAGTCCAGCGTCCTTAACCACCATGCCACCTGCTGGCCTTATCTCTCTTCTGATCTTCTGGGAAGATCAAGTGACAACTTAGCTTTGACTTGGTGACAGGAGACATGAGTAACTCCATTTTGACTTTTAGTCAGGTCTGTTGGAGCCTAGTGCATAAGCTTAGACTGAAGTAATGGCCTCCTGTAATTTTTATTTAATACTCCTCCTTTCTGTTACTCTCAAGGTGCTCAGCATCTCCCCAAACGGGGGATGGTCAGAACACATCTAAGGATCATTCTGGAACCATTATAGGGAGTGCCCTTTCCCAGACAGGCATGAGATGGACCCTCAGCCAGTGACAGCCTGGCACCTGGGCCGACCTATAACTTGATGGACTTACCATCTAATGGGCTCCTGGGCCTTGTTTTCTGCAGGTATTTTGAAGGCGGTGTCTCATCTGTCTACCTCTGGGATCTGGATCATGGCTTTGCTGGGGTGATCCTCATCAAGAAGGCTGGAGATGGATCCAAGAAGATCAAAGGCTGCTGGGATTCCATCCACGTGGTGGAAGTGCAGGTAAGCCTCCCACCTCTCACACGCAGGTGCCACGCTGAGCCAGAGAGCCCCGTTCTCTAGCCAGTGCTTCTGTACGGGGGACGAGAATATGTAAACAATATGTAAACCCTTGCTGACTACTAAAAACGCCCCAAAGCCGGTCAGTCGGCATTGATGATAAACGTTCCCACAGGCACTTAATGCGCTTGATCTTGGAGTCGTCCTTTTAAAACTGTTGGGAATTTACAAGAAAGGTAATGTTCTGCTGTTGATTTAGAAAGGGGCCTGTGAGCCTGACCCCGAATTCCCAGGGCTACTCCAGGCTCTCCCAGCCCGGGCTGTGCCTCTGATCTCTGCCTCATCTCTCCAGGAGAAATCCAGCGGTCGCACCGCGCATTACAAGTTGACCTCCACGGTGATGCTGTGGCTGCAAACCAACAAGTCCGGCTCTGGTACCATGAACCTCGGAGGCAGCCTTACCAGACAGGTAGAGTCACTCATTCACAGCCAGCGGCCCGTGCCCACAGGTGCCCTGGATTGGGTAAAAGTGTTGAGCCAACTGTAGATCAGCCATCTAAGGGCTTCCCATTTTCAAAGAAGTGTCCTCAGCTATTAGAGGTTGCTCAGACCTGCCATTCCCAACTGGCTTCCTGCTTCATAGGACTGGGTAGCTGTAGATTGGCTGTGGTTTCTTTTCACTCATCAGGGGTCACCACGCCCCAGACCTGAGGGTCATGTGCTGTAAAAAGCCCTGCTCTGCTCTGCTTGCACCTCTGCTCACTAGCAGCTCGTCAGTCTGAGCTGCCCAGGGGGCTCCAAGTGTCTGTGCCTTGCCATGCCCTGCCTAGCCCCAGGACAGAAATCACCAACCTTGGCAGAAATCTCAGGCCCCACCCAGGCTGGTCAAATCAGGGTCTACATTTTAACAAAATTCTTGAAGGAATTTATGTACACATTAACAGTTGAGAAATGCCTCTGTGTACCTTTGGTCAACCAGCTTTGACTTGGTGTCAGTGACACTCCATCTCCAAGGTGTGTGTTCCAGGCTGTGTCCAGGTGAACTTGGAGCTGGCACTGGAAGGCACTGCCTCTCCATGGAGCAGACTTGCCTTAACTTCTCCCCCTAGATGCTAGTCTGAGGGTGTGAGAGGTCTGAGACCCTTTTTAAGGGCCCCTGTTCAAGACCCAGGATCCTCTCGTCCCAAGAGAAGGCCTTCATCTTGTGCCAGCGTCACACAGCAGCACGCCTCAGAGAGTCAATATTAACAGAGATACAGCAGCCTTGACAGCGTTCTCAGGAGGGCGTTGCCGTCTGCAAGGATAACCTCCACCATCCCCACTCTTGTCGTGCCTGACTTTTTCTTTTTTCTATTTTATCAGAGGTTGTGTGCTTGCCAGAAAGGCAGAGATAGAGGGGAGAAGGTGAGGGAGAGGGAGAAGCACCCCGTGGGTTGTAGTCAGATCATGATCCCTTCTCCATCCATCCTGTTGGGACTTCGGCGTGCGCACACATACACCCCCATTTTTTCTTTTTTCTTTTCTAATCTTTTGCCATAGGGCACATACACTCACTGGAGAGAGACAGAGAGTGAGTGAGTGAGTGAGTGAGTGAGTGGAAAAGTGAGAAATCCCCCTGGGGCGATGGTCATGCAGTCCCTTTTCCTTCATTCTCCTCCTGGGATTTTGGGCATGCACGCACACATGCCTGGCATGATTTTCAAGCCACCAGGTCTGGGACTAAGACTGAAATTGGCCATATGGAAGTCCAGCACTTTAACCACCTGCAGGCCCTGTCCCCATGTGTTTTTCAGTCCCCCAGGGCCAGGACTCAAACTGCACTGTTGGCCAAATGGGACCTAACTGCAACCTTTTTTAAGAGAGATTTTTTTTTTTTTTCTTTTTGCTATAGGCCATGTGCGTTTGCCAGGGAGACAGAGGCAGAGAGACAGAAAGTGAGAAATTACCCCCAGCGGGGATGGCCATGCTGCAATCCCTTCTCCTCCATTCTCTTCTCGGGATCTCTGGGGCGCGCACACACACACACACACACACACACACACACACACACGTACCTGGTATGAGATTTAAGCCGCTGGGTCAGGGATTCAAACTGCGGTCGACTACCTGAGAGTCCAGGATATAACCATTACACCATCTGCTGGTCCCGTGGGACCTGGCTCCTTTAACCACTAGGTCACAGAGCCAGCCCCTGCAGTCAACTTTTTTTTGGGGGGTGGGGGGCAGGGAGGTTTTTGCCATAGGGCGCGTGTGCTTGCCAGACAGACAGAGACAGAAATCACCCCCCAAGGGGGATGACCACGCCGCAATCCCTTCTCCTCTCGGGATCTGGGGCACGCACGCACACACGCCTGGCGTGAGTTTTAAACCACCGTGTCTGGGACTCGAATCGCAGTCGACCACATGGGAGTCCAGCGACATAGCCATTACGCTAACTGCTGGTCTCCCCCTACAGTCAGCTTTTAATAGTTGTTAATAGAAAAAAATTAATCCTTGGAACCAGCAGTTAGCGTAATGGCTATGTCGCTGGACTCCCATGTGGTCGACTGCGATTCGAGTCCCAGACACGGTGGTTTAAAACTCACGCCAGGCGTGTGTGCGTGCGTGCCCCAGATCCCGAGAGGAGAAGGGATTGCGGCGTGGCCATCCCCCCTGGGGGGTGATTTCTCGCCTTCTGTCTCTCTGTTTCTCTCTCTCTTTCTGGTGAGCGCACGCACCCTATAGCAAAAACCTCTCCAAAAAAAAGGGAAAAAAAGAAAAAAATTGATCCTCACAAAGGATGAATATAGTAACCCTTTTAAGTGAACTTACAGTCAGGCCATGGTAGCATCTCCATGCATTTGAAAACTTGGGGTATAAGACAGGTGTTGGCCAGCTTGCCGGGATATGTGTCAGAGTCCTGGGCCCTCCACACACTCCATTACCTCAGCCGTGTCAGGGCCAGAGACCAGCAGGGCTCCTGGGGTCTCCTCCTCGGGCTTCTGAGCAGGGCCATCAGCCCACCCCCATTCCATAACAAGCACTAGTTCTCACAGGGCGATACTCATCCTTTTGTGTGAAAATGGGCACTTACCTTCCAGGGACCACGGCCATGAGGGCCAGCTGAACCCCTGGGAGCCAGCTCTCCAGCACCCTGCCACCTGGAAAAGGGGTGGAAAGTCCTAAGTCTGTATCCGGAGACTGCTTCCTGCATCACTTACCGCTCTGAACTGTTTATAATTCCACCCAGTTTACAGTGACCTGGACAAATATTTAATCCTCGGCCTTCCTAATAGTTTAAATCAGAGCTGTCAGCTCACGGCCAGGGTCTGGTTCCGGCTTGCAGTGAGCAGCGCCTCCTGCCAAGCCCAGCCCCGGCCTGATGAGTGGCCGTCCTCAGCACACCTTGGCCAGGGCTGCGGGCTATGTTTGCATTGCCTTTTGCTCTTGGGGCTTTAACGAGGAAATTCATGCTTCTGTCATCGTTCTAATGGCTGATCACATAGTTCATCTGAGGCGCGTTAGAGCTAGGGCCGCTTTCCAATGTAAGTAACTGCAGAGGAGGGAGCGGGAACAGCGGAGCAGGCAGGTCTGAGTTAACGATGCACAACTTCTGAGCAAACAGGGAATGTGGGTTGCGAGATTTAGCCGAGTGTCCCCGATGAACCTTGGAAAAACCTCAGTAATTACCTTGGCTGTGTAATGAAGGGGTTCCAGGAAAGACGAGTGAATTAGTGGAGAAGAGTGTACACAGATGGTTGTGTGCACTGTGTCTGATTAGACTGTAAGCGGGGTAGAGTTCTCATTTACAGATGGGATACACACACACGTTACTTTCTGCCACACCCTACTGTTTTGATCGTAATCTGTCTCTGCCTGAAGATGCTAAATAAGTCAGAACGCCTTGAGCAGTCAGCTCAGCATAGACGGGACATCACGCTATGAGTGCCGGGTGACACTGTAGCAGCCCCTCCATCTCCAGCAGATGCAGTGGACCAGCGACCTCAGAATCAGGCGAACCACAGCATGGCCGAAGCTGCGGAGTGCCCCGCAGGGTCAGAGCTCCCCGGCATGTTGAGCAGCACCACCCCGTGGGCTCCCCGTGTGCGTGTTTGCATTTCAGGTTGAGCCCCTGACAGAAGCAAGTTGACCCCACGAGATACATTTGCTCCTGGAGGTACAAAGGGGGTTTAGGATTTTTAGGGAGCTTGAGCCAGCTCTGGGGCACTGTGGTAACATGCTGCTTAACAGAAGCTGGGTCCCCACACAGCGGTCACAGTTCGGATCCCTGGCCCGCTGAGTCTGAGACACACGAGCAGCACTCGAGCGCCCAGTACCCGACAGGCCGGGAGGAGGGGTGTCGTGACGTGACCTGCAGAGAGTGCTCATCTTGTCTGTCCCTCCTCGCTCACTCACGTGCATATGCCACATCACGTGAAGAGGGATGGTTAAGGAGGCTCGTGGTCTGCTTTGATTTGTGTTTTCAGAAGATGGTCTGCCAGCTGGCAGAGAAGGGGGTGGCAGGAGGAGGCTGTAGAGCTGTCCACAAGAAGACAGGTGACAAGGGCCTTGACCGGGCAACCCAGGAAGGCTGCAGGGACAAGCCTGTGGTGAGGACACTGGCGAAGCCGGTGTCAGCTCACAGCCGGAGATCACAGGACTGTAAGAAAGATAGAGGCAGAAGGACAGAGATGGAGCCACAGGCGAAGGGGCATTTTGAGGGCCAGCCAGTGGGGTGTGGCTGGATCTCACATAGTTGACTGTGTGGTTTGAGTCCTGGATCTGGCAGCTTGAAAGACACACCCGGGTTGTGTGCATGTCCAAGATCCCAACAAGAGAAATGGAGAAGGGATAGCGGAGCGAGACCATCCCCATAAGGGTGCTTTCTCACTCCCCCAGCTCCCGTGGGCACATGTGTCCTCTAGAAAAGTTTGTTTTAATTTTTGAAGCAGGGTGGTCAGAACTTCAGGTGGCCAGGCTATAGGGAGTCACTGGAACCCCCAGTGTGCAGTACTTGCAGTGACCCAGGCCTCTGGGCTCTTCCTCTGGACACACGGCCCCGGCATGGTGGCTCCCTCACACGCTCGCCCACAGGTGTCCAGAATGCCACCTTGCTCTGGGAGTGACCCCGGGAAGGCCAGGCAGGCTCCGTAGTCCTCCGACACACCCAGCAGCCCGGCCTGGATGTCCTTCCGCGTGGCGCCAGGTGTCCCACATCGTCCCGTTTCCTGTGCCCCATCCAGACAAGGGCAGCTGGCACAGGCTTGCAGGCCTTCACAGCAGGGGTCCCTTCCCAGTTCCCCGCCCTTCAGCAAGGACCCCTTGGGACCAGGCGTGAGTGTCGCCCTGGCTGGTGCCAGTAGCAGATGGATTACCCGAGCTGCATTCCCAGCTGGTCCTGACAGGCCCAGGGTGGAGACCCACTACAGCCACCTCCCCCCTCGCCCTCAGCCCATCTCCTTCCCTGCAGCCCGGGTTCCTCACCCCTCC